AGAGTAATTAATGTGCCCCCGCCTCTCTTTATTCCTTTTCCTATATGTGGTGTAGCTAACTGGAGAGTTTTCATTTTTGTCTTTTCCCATGCTGTCCAAGGAAGATGTAATATGGAAAATGGGAAGAATGCCATTGTTCTGACTGATGAGCGCCATAGTGGATCTGAATCAGAGGTGGTATTCAGTTGGTTTGCACCAGTTCTGGCGTACTAGTAGCAGAAATTTTGAGTAGTTCAGAGAACCAGCAAATACTAACTGTGGCTGGCCCCGCCTGCCCTATCCTGTCCTATATTTCCTTGTTTTTTTTTAGTTCAGCTGATTCACCTGGCAGAGCGGGTTGCCGTGCCTCAGCTGAGCTAAAAAACAGCTCACTTCACTAACACTTGACAGAGGGCGGTTGTTGATTGCTGTGTGCGCAAAGCACGCTCTCATAGAACCGGTACGAAAAAAAATTTGGAATCCCACCACTGATCTGAATAATTCATAGGAAGGGCTGGAATGGCATGGATGTTCATTCCTTTACTTATCATACATTTCCTCGCTATCCAGATGTAAAAGTGTTATGCGTAGGAGGAGTGAAAGAGAATGCGATAGCATATTGCAGAGGCATATGGGTGTGCTGGTTATTTAGCATAGCTTTGTAAGCTTTGAAAGTTGGATCTTATATAAATTAACAGATTGTCCATCTGTTATGGATAGCAAAATTAGATTAAAATACAATAATTAATATACTCTGAACAGTTGATGGAGGTCTTGAAGTTCCAGATAGGAATTTAAATGAAAATCTTGTTGAGCTCCAAAGGATTTTAAATACAGAAGGAAATACAACTTACTTACTTACTCCCTCCCTCCCTCCTTCCTAACTTCCTTCTCTCATTCCTATATCCATCCTCCTTCCTTCCTAACTTCCTTCCTTCTCTCATTCCCATATCTTTCCTTCCTTCTTCCCTCCCTACCACCCTTCCCTCCTAACTTCCTTCCTTCTCATTCTCATATCCTTCCTTCCCAACTTCCTTCCTTCTCTCATTCCTATATCCTTCCTTCCTTCCTTCCTTCCTTCCTTCCTTCCTTCCTTCCTTCC